CATTACATAGTGCTTTACCTCACTGGTTCATTTGGTGTTGAGCCGAGGAGGCATTACTACACTACTTCTTAGACACCTTCTACCACCCATCTAGTACCACTGAGCACCAGTATAGAGCCACACTTTAGAACAACAATCATTATCCCACTTCAAATAGACTTCGTCCTGCACTGAGAGCCGCTTCCCCAGTGCTTCGCATGCTCTGGCACTTTCCTGTGCTTAGGTGCTCCCTTAGGCACTCATTCAGCGTGTCTTGGATCATTTCTCTGCTGCCATCTGCTTCCCCGGTGTGGTGTTCAAACTTTCTGTAGCCTTGCAGAGGCACTTTTCACTATGCATTTCTTATTGACACTTTCCTTAGATTAGGTTCGCACTTTTGCTGCTTACATAATCATCTTCCCTTTACCTAGGACTCTACAGTCATTACCTAGTTTCCCTTGTTTCCAGTTCTTTGGTTGCTCCCCATTCACTTGGGTTATTTAGTAGCATCCCCTAGTTGTAGCTTTCCTAGTTGTAGCTCCCTCAGCTCACCAGATAGCTCCTGGAACATAGTTTTCTTACCTTGACTTGGAGTACCTTCTCCACTCTCTTTCTTTGGGCCTGAGCCTAGTCAGAGATCCTTTAGGGTCGAATATTCTTGCTAGCAAGAGTAGCAGCTAGGAGAGCAGGAGACTCATATATTTTGGTTTGGTGCTTTTACCTACAGCCCAGCCATATCTTGTCATCACACTGGGTCGAACGATTCACATCACACCTCGACCAACACTTAGAGAGAGTATAGCTCCATCTCCCACCCAGAGCTTAGGGCATTATTATTTCTTTCATTTGCTCTGCATTGCACCTTAGCAGAGTTGTTGTACCCTCAGCGGGTTGGTAGATGGTCGCTATTGGATCACTAATAGGTCGGTAGCGGAGCGGTAATGTGTCGCTATAGGATAGGGAGTGTAAGGAGTGTAGTGGATAGTGAGTGAGGTCAAAGGTATTGATTGCAAGGGTAAGGGAAGGTCAAGGTAAAGTGTTCAGGTATAAGGGAACTAATAGGGGCTATAGAGCACAGCTAAAGGTGACTACTTCAAAGTGAAACCTAAGGGGAAGGAAATACAGTTGAAGGGAAGTAATGTCAAAGTAATCACCATAGGCTTCTTATACTAGTAAACTATACCATCTCGGACTCGGAAGGGATAGGATATACATGTAATAAGACTGTAGCACTTGTTACAAACTCAAGGCAAGGCAAATTACATACCAATGAGGTAGGATGGACAATGGATGGATTCCGATGTTTCGGGTGGATCCTAGAGCACGAGAACAGTGCGCTGGATAAGTGCTAGGCGTGGGAACAAGCGCTAGATAGAGCGGACATGCACTAATGCTCCTATAGACACATTGCTGGTAGTTCTGATAGCGCTATAAGTGTGGGAATAGCGTCGGATAAGTTGCGGGAGCATGAATAGTGCTGCTGGAATGTGCGCGCATAGTGTGGGAAAGTGTGGAATAGCGTCGGACAAGGGTTATGGTTGAGACAAGTGAAGACTGCTGATATGGGAGTAGTGAATAATATGAGGGATAACTTTGGTCCACCTATTGAAGGCTTATGCAGGTATACATGCCTAGTGCCAATATGATTGTCACACTGGGTCTCAGATCCAATCCAGATCTGTTGAACATATCCATTGTCCGGTCCACAGATCCGATCCGATTTTTATTTCATTTCCTGTTCATATAACTCTAACTATCGTTCATCTCCTTTTGGTATTTCTAGACACCGGTAATCCAGTTATCCTTACTTCTGCTATGCTTACTGATCCATTTAACTTATGCTTCATTTCCAATTCATGATTTGTGATCCATCCAACTTACCAATGCGCTATGATTATACTTTGCTTATACTTTGTACATAGCCTTGCACCTTTGCTTATTGATCTTTCCGTTAGTTATCCATAGTATATAAACCCTTGTACATGTGCTATAGTACTTCAGTTTGAATATCATCTTAGATTGCACTCATTCCGTCTGAACTCTAAGTCCCTCTGTTCATCCTCCATTATCCGTCCGGACTTGAATCCTCTACTCTTGTCTACTCCAAGACTTAGGATTGACTCCTATAGTCTATATATCTGCCTCTGTCTTTGGACAGTCCTTATCTGTTAGTTTCTAGTTCGGATCTGATCCAGATTAGCTGTTACTCTATACGTTTGATATCTGGAAGCCTTAACGGATCCGTTACGATACTTATCTGTCTTACTAGACACAATACTTCAGTACTCTGAAATAATGTTAAGACCGTACTCAAGTAGTATCGGATCCGAAGGGCTTCGGCCTCAGCTAGTGCGCTGTGCCCCTTTCCCGAGTCTTGCCCCTTATTTCAGAGAGCTAAAGTATCGCGTGTATAGAGTAACGGCCAATCCGGATCGGATCCGGACTAGAAACTAACGGGTGAGGACTGTCCGAAGACAGAGGCGGATATGTAGACTATAGGAATCTATCCTAAGTCTCGGAGTAGACAAGAGTAGCGTACTCAAGTCCGGATGGATAACGGAGGGACTCAGAGTCCAGACGGAATGAGTGCAATCTAAGATGATATTCGAACTGATCTACTACAGCGCATATACAAAGGTTTATATACTACGGATAGCTAACGGAATGATCCATAAGCAAAGGTGCGAGGCTATGTACGAAAGTATAAGCAAAGTCTAAGTGGAGCGTATTGGTAAGTTGGATGGATCACGAATCATGAACCGGGAATGAAGTACAAGTAAAAGCGGATTCGTAAGTGTAGCGGATCAGTAAGCAAAGCGGAAGTAAAGGATAACCGGTATACCGGTGTACAGGAATACCGAAAGGAGATGAACGATAGTTAGAGTTATATGAACAGGAAATGAAATAAGAATCAAAGCGGATCTGTGGACCGGACGATGGATATGTTCATCGGATCTGGATCGGATCTGTAACCGGATATATGGTATATGACAAATAAGGAGCAATACTCAGGAAAGGGACACAGCACACAAGCTGAGGCCAAAGCCCTTCGGATCTGATATCTCTTGAGTACAGTCTTAACATATCTACTTGGAATTTTTTTGGCTGGTCTGTCCAACACTTCTTCAGGTACATCACATATTGCTTTACTTCAGTGGACACTTCACTCTTTTGTTTCATACATTCAATGCTGCACCTTTGGAAACAGTCATTGGTAAAAGAGATATAGTATTTTGATCCACCTATTGACTGTACCTGCGCTGGTCCTCATACATCACGGTGGGTTAGCTCATCAAGTGAATCTCTTGCATGTTTTGCCTGTATACAGGCTTTGCATTATGGCATAGGTGATTTTTCATCCAATACTTCCATACCTTCAACTAATTCTTCTCTATATAGATGCTTTAGGCCACTATAGGCTACTGTTAAGACCGTAGCTCAAGGGTAGACGGGATCTGAAGGGCTTGGCCTCAGCTCGTGCACTGTGCCCCTTACCCGAGTACGTGCCCTTAATTTCAGAATGAAGTCCGGATGGAATACGACGAAGTCCGAAGGACTTCCGGAGGCTGGCTACTCTAGTAGAGTGCTAGAGGACTTCCGGATGAGTGCGAGAAACTTCCGGAGGAGTATAGGAAACTCCAGAGGAGTTTCATTCACTGTATTAGATCCAAAGGTAAGACTTCCCAAGGTAAGTTCCCTAGATAGAAACACATAGAGGATAAGCTGCAAGGGACAGAGTCCAAAGCAGGATAGGATAGGAGGAGTGGTCCAAAGGACAGGATGTCCAGAGGTCCGAAGGTTAAGATGTCCAAAGGGTACGTCGTCCAAAGGTTGCATCATCCAAAGGTTGCCTTGTCCGAAGGTTGCATTGTCTGAAGGTTACGACGTCCGAAGGTTTATGAGGACTGGAGGAGCAGACAGGATTAGGACAGGAGGGGAAAGGCTACTATGGACAAGGTCCAGAGTAGAAACAAACAGAGGTAGACTACACTATGGTAGAGTCGGATAGACAGGGTTTAGACAGAAGTCTTGGAAAGACAGGAAGTGCTGGAAAGGCAAAACTTCGTTCTAGGGAATCAATCCCTAGACTTCAGAACAGAGACATAGGGGACAAATCCGAAGGTCCGGATTTCCGGCCTAGGGAATCCATCCCTAGGCCTTGATGGAAAGGCAGAACTCAGATGGACCAAAGTCCAAGACAAGAATGAGTGAAGTCTAAGATGCGAAGGAGCAAGTCTATGTTGATATTCGAACTAAGGAAACTTTACAGGAGTTGTACAGATCTTTATATACTGGAAGGGATCCGAGAGGATCGGTAAGCTGAACACAAATGCTATGTACGAGCATGTGGAAACATATTAGTAAGTATGAACGGAACATAAGTAAATGAACTCGGATATGAACAGAGTACAAGGATCAATAAGCAAGACAGAAACAGAGATAACCGAAGTCCGGAGTCAAGGGATTACCATAAGGAGATAGACACTGATTAAAGGTTTGGGCTTTGGATATGAGTATAGGTCGGATCTGGAGGTCTAGAGATATTGGATGAGGCGTCTGGATATCGGATGAGCGGATCCGGAGATCTAGGTGAAGACAAGACTAGGATATGGATCATGGATATAGATCGATAGTCTAGGGAAGGTAGAGTCCGAGATGGAATGAGCTCGGATCCGATAGGACTAAGGGTGGATGGAGCAGGCTTAGCTGCGGAGGTCCGAAGGTATTGATATATGGATGTACGAAGGTGTATGGAATCAAACTGATAGTGGACTGGAGGACTGAAGGCATGGATAAGGGTATGGAGGTCCGGATGTGCATCCGGAAGGTGTCCAGAAGGCGTGGGAACATCATCGGACGAAGGTCCGGAATACGGTGTGGGAAACACAACAAGAAGAGAACTCTGAAAAGTACTCTTCAAATGTTGGGTCAAAATTGCTATGCCTAGCTGCTATTCGACCCTAAAGGATTTCTGTACTAGACTCAGAGCTCAGAGAGTAGAAATATCATCAAGCAAAAGACTGTGATTCAGACTGGTACTGACACTGGTGAAAGGGAGACATGATTATGTAAGCAGTAAAAATGCGAACATAAACTAAGGAAAGTGGGTAAGTGAAGGTAAGTAAAAAGGGGGAATATCAGCCCAGGGAAAATTATATTGTCACATCTCATGGGGACTTTGGATACTGACTGTCCCCAGTCAGCTACACATGCAAACCAAAACTAAACAAAACTAAGAAAAGCAACCTGATGACCCTCACACCTGTTTTCAATGATCAGCAGGGAGTCATATGAACTGCTTCAGTGCGTGAGGGGTCAGGCAAGGCAAAGAGTGGTGCCCAGTACCTGTTTTCACTGATCAGCAGGGAGTCAGGTGAACCGCTTCAGTACTGGGCCAGGGGGAATGGGTAGGACAGGGTAATGGCTGCATGGAAGGTGATGGGGAGTAGACGGATGGACAGAGGCGAATGAGAGCTTCAAAATGAGTCTAGGGTTAACAGGGTTTGGTGAAGGAATGGGGCGAGATATGAAGGAAATGGTGAAAAGGGGTGATAAATTGATAGGGCGATGTAAAACGCGGATTGCGAGGGAACGGCTGGGCGGATCAGGGAGGCGATGGGATGGATGGATAGCCCTGGCAAAGAGCTCCCAGATCAGGGAGGCGATGGGATGGATGGATAGCCCTGGCAAAGAGCTCCAGAATGAGTATAGGGATGATAGGGATCCGATAGAGGGATGACTGGTGAGAGAGGCAAAAGTGCGTAGGGGGTATGAGGAGGAGGTAGGCTGCTGAGACCCAAGGACTGGTCTGATCAAGGGGATGAATGGCGCGATGGCAAGAGCCACTGAGGGATGCTGCATGGCCAAAAAAAGCGAGAAGGGACACGCTCTAGATCTCCCAGGATAAGCATTCTAATCCACAACCTCTCCAAAACACAAAACCTCCATATCTCCACAACTACTGGGCCAAATCGGACAAATGAGGGCTCATTGGAAAGCCAGGAGTAAGGGGAATCTAACCCTTGAAATGCGAGAGGTCCGCGCCAAAACTGCGTGAGAAATCGCCTTATCACTGCTGAGGGAGCAGGAGAAGATGGTGAAAACAGGGAGAAGTGGGAGAAACTGATAAAGGAGTGACTGTGGTTGGTTAAGAGGCGAATTTTGGGGATGGTTGGTGAGCATAGAGAGCCTAGAAACAAGAAACCCTCGCGGTGGGCTCCAGTTGTGAAAGAGTAATAGCGACTAGGCTGGTTAGAAACTAGCGCTACTTATCCAAATAGGCGCGAGTGTAATATTCGACCCAAGAGGACTGCTATTGAAGCAACTCCCTTCAAATATGCAAGGGTAGCGACGATGCGAAGGACTAATAACCTATAGCGACCTAAGGCCAAAAACCAATGAGTAGCGCTGTAGTGATCAGCGACTAGCGACAAGTGAGTTCCAACAGAGAAACGTGCGTATAAGTAAGTAGCACTATGCAAGTTGTCCTATGCGATAGCGCTATGCATCGTCCGACTAGCGACAGCAAGAAGAAATCAAAAGAAGGTAAGGCGAGGGATAAGGTATGATAGTGCAGGTGGAATGCCTGATAGCGACTAGATTATAGCTCAACTACCGACAGCGATCCCGACGTTGTGAAGATCAAACTTATGAAGGAACTTTAGCGATGCGCACTTGAAGCAAGTCAAGCGACACGTGATCAGAGAGATTGGCAAGAGCGGAATCGATTGCACCAAAATTAGGATATAGCGACTAAAGTGACTCCGACACCAGCAAAGGTCCGGGGAAGGGAAGTACTGTACTGTATGTAGGATGGGTCATTTTATCATACTGCATAGGGGTTCGGGATGTGTAGGCGAGTATAGTAGCGACACTGGCAAGGGCACGATGTAGCGACAGGTAATAGAACATGCAGCGCTGCGGGACATGAGGACACATATAATAAGACCTGCGACTGATGAGTAGCGACATTTAAGGAAATATAACGCACCAGCGGAGGTAGGTGGACATAGGCAGGACATGGAAGGGCGGAACACCTAGACGTCAGACCGGGTAGTGCACTATGGGGGAAAAGTGGTTCCAAAGCGGATAGCTTGGGAGCTGAATAGCGCTGGTGACTAGCGTCTTACTCTTTTCTTCTAGGCAAGTCAAAATATGCCTATGACATTCATACGCGCCTAGCGCCGGTATGATTGTCACAACGGGATATGACAGCTACATGCCCATATCATTTGCGCCAGGTGAGCCAATCTGCAGGTTTATTTTCCTAAGCAGTATATACTTTAGTCATTTTATGTAACTGCACATGGGTATGTTTTAATAAATATAACCCATTATGAAGGTCTCCTTTGGCTATGATGCGTCCACCACATGCCTTAAGAGTTACCCTGCCATTACTCATGATTGCATGTCCTCAAGTTGACATTGAATGATATTTCCTGAGTCAATGAATGAGTGATGATGAACTAAGAATAGCAAAGAGGACTAATCATCAGCTGTAAACACAATGATGGAGCTAACAAAGTAATTGTACAGCCAACCATTGTAGGCAGCATTCTTAATCTCTTGGTTATTCAAAGTCTGTACTGGTAGATTAACTTTGTTAAGTGTTCCAAAAGTACCAGTCAACAATGAATAGTGTGCTGTGACAAGATGATTCAATTCTTGAAAATCATGAGCCATTAGATAATGCCTTCAGGAATGTGTTTGAGTGTGTGAAGAAGTATGATAAGTGAAAAATTCAGATAGCACAAGATGGTGGATGAGATTAACACAAAAAAATTGTATGAGACTGACTTCATGCATAGTAGAATTAAGCCAATGAAGGACAAGGCCCAAAGCCCTTACAGAGTCAAGTGAATGGCAATGAGTTTCGAGGAACAGCAGTGGGTCAGAATGTCATTATGGAGAATGGACGTAGTGTCCTAAAGCTTGCTGAAAGGAGGTGATGAAATGTCAACATGTCAACCCCCATAGTGGTGATAAAAACTCAGTCATTGCAAGCCAAGTACAGAGTTTGCCAGGGTGTATTGGCACAGGGATTAGGAAGTAGGTCACCTTGAATGAGATATGTTCTTCTTGCTCATTGACATGTGAGGCATTCATGTTATGATTCTTCACCTTCTGCAAAAATGACTGTACTAAGTACAGCTATCTTGTACCTTTGTAATTCATCTTTGTTGTCTATCTCATCTTCTATCAACTCATACATGTAATATAGCTAATATTAGATCCATGTTGTCATTGTCTATGTTTAGAAGTAGAGCATGTATTTAGAATCATCTAGATAACATTTAGTTTGCAGTTTAGAATATGTTTCTAGATGTTGTTGTACTGTGAGCTGAATCTCTAACAAATAAGATTTGAAACAATATCTAGGATTCTCAATGCTACATGAAGTCATCTATTATAACCAAGACTATGAAATCAAAGACCAGTTAAGACAAGGATAAGACAAGGTGTGACTCAAAGTAATATGACAGCAAGACCACTGGTTAACTAAGAAGATATCAACCAAGAAATACAAGAATCACATAGTCACTACAACAAGTATTATAGTATACAGCAGCAAAAATGAAGCAAAGTCAAGTTAAGAAATTAAAAGGATTCAACTTTAGCAAATGTGTCACTTTAGACGAGGACCAAAGACAAGCAAAACTATAACAGCAATAAGACAGCCAAAATCAAGCAAGGTCCAGCAATAAAATCACAAATATCAAGCAAAACAAAGTTAAGTCTAAACAAGATCCTGACTACAGCTCAGGCATAACCCCCTAGATAAGCACTAGAATAAGCAAGACCAGGAAATCAAAGATGAGGACTAAGATGAGAGCTAAGACATGTACATGTATAATAAGTCTTATATGACAAAGGCTGATCCTTGGTAGACCTTAATAAAGGGCATAGTCAACCTGCATTAATAATGGATGGATATACATGTCTAGTAGTAAAATAGACATTTAACAGTGCCCTACTTGATCCAATAAGATTACTAGATGTCTAGAGTCTAAGATCTACTGAGGTGAATTATCCAGACTACAACAATTCCTACTAAGTAGAAGGATAAATATTGGTTCTGATGGAGGATATGAAAGTAAGTGAAGTCCTGAGCTGTGTCTTACTTAATAAGTGAGAGTTCTGTCTCCAGATGAGGATCAGTTGGTTGCTTGTTTGGTATATCAATACTGACTTCAAGAAGTGGAGGATATCGTTGTATCAGGAAACCTATACTTTTTCTGATTATACCTCAGCACTCTTATATAATCTTCAGGACTTATAGAAGGTGAATAATAAACCATGCTCTTAGCTAAGATGGCCAAGACATTACAAGTGAACATACAATATCATAATTTAACATGATTTAGTATAATTGAGTAGGATATTCAGGTCATCTGTTAATTTTGGTTAGCTTAATGACCTGCCAGGCTTAACTAATATTATCACACTTAGTCAAGTCTTCTAAGGTTGCTTAGAAAAATTGTAGGTTTCCTGATGTGAAGCAAAAGTCACATATAATGCTTTGATGCACATATTGTTTCCATTATTGAGCCAGGGCCTAGTCAGAGACTCATTAGGGTTAAATGCAGTCTCTTTAGAAATAGCAGCTAGGCAGCCTACACCTACTCCAGACATATTCAATAGATCTCAATTTTATAGATATATACTGGACTCCAGAAATGCCATGCTTACTCTAACTGGGTTACTCATATGTCTGGGACTTGTTTCCTAGTGGAATGGGGCTTTGACAATGCTATATCTACTTTAACTAGGTTGCCTATATTGCTGAAACTTATAAATACAACAAACAAATTTTGCTTCTACTGATCAGTAAAGTCAATGTTCTTAAACATAAGATGTAATTATACATATCATTGCTTTATAAGAATGACCCTCATTAATAGCATCAGAGATTGTATGAACCTTGACAGAGTTCCTGTTAAGGCCATGCTCAAAGGAAGAAAACTGAGTCTGAAGGACTTTGCCTCAGCTTGTGTGCTATGCCTCTTACCCAAGTATGTATCCATGATTTCAAATGAAGTCTGATAGAAATCTGATGAAATCCAGAGAAGCACAGTGAAGAGGGCCACACTGATGAGGACTGATGGACTCAGACTAGATAACAGAAAAGACAGACTAGAATGAGTAAGACTAGCTACAGACATGTACTAGATATATATATATACCTAGTGCCTTGAGGCCCAGGTAAGACCCCTGGCACCTCTGGCAGACCCTAGCGGCCAAGCCTCCTAACACAATGAGAAACTTCTAAGAAATGCAGGAAATTCCAGCAGAGTTTTGTTTACTTGACAGAGAGAAGTGTAAAGACTACTTAGGACTTGTTTTGAGTAGAAAAAAACAGAGGAATGGCTGCAGGGACAAAGTCTAGAGCAGAAGGGAACTGAAGGAGTGGAGCAGAATTTAGAATGGAAGAAGTGGTCTGGAGTTTAGAACAGAAGTTGAACTTAAGTCTAGAAAGAGAGCAAGTGCTAGAAAGGCAAAACTCCAGCTAGGGAATCAATTTCTAAGCCTGGATGGAGATAGAGAGGATAAATCTCAGAGGGGTGGAACTTTAGCCTAGGGACTCAATCCCTAGGCCTGAGAAAGAGCAATGACTAAGATGGACCAAAGTCCAGAGATAGGAATGAGCAAGTCTAGATGATATTTGAACTGATGAAAATACAGAAGTTTATATACTGGAGGAGAAATACAAAAGATCAGTAAGCAAAAGAGTAATGCTATGTACAAGCATGTGGAAACACATTAGTAAGTGAGACAGAACATATAGTGGCTCAAAAAAATGTCTCAATGTTTGTAGATTTTCATGTAATTACTGTATTATGAGTCAGGGTGTGAGAATATGACTAAGCCATAGGGGACATGTGGGAAAGCCCTGCTTCCTAGCCTTAGTTTGGTCCATATAGTGTGGGAAAATTATGTTATTGAGTGAAGATATGGTTATTTTTAATTTGGTGACTCATTGAGACACTTATTTGACTTTCAGTTTAACCAACACAATCTCTATAATTTTAGTACTTGGTGTTTCCTCCTGTTGTTCTAATTGCTTCTATCACTCTTCTATTCACACTATCTATCAATTTCAGCCATTCCTCATCAAAAATCTTGCCCCACTCTACTGCAACTCTCTCCTCCTATTATCCTCAGCTCTTCTGATCTGTATACCAGGCAGATTGCTACTAAAACTGGTCTGAGCAGGGTTATTCTCATTATGGTCATTAAAAGTCATTTCAAATAAGACAAATATCAAACTAGATTGTCCTTTCAAGCTTACACCCCATAACAAAAAATCTCTTGTTATCATATTCTAACTAGGCAGACTGCCAATGCTACTCAAGGCACCAAATTCATTGATTATATCATCTACACTGCTCTCTTTACTCAAATAGTCAGGAATACTCCTAAGGCAGCCAACTTAAAGCTGTAGTCAAGCAGAAAAAGCCTCTCCTGTCTTCAGGCTATAGAGGGAGGGAAACTAGCCTTTGCTATAAAGCCTCAGTATTGGATTGTTGAGTACTGGAATAGGGTTACCTGGTCAGATGAGACAAAAACCAACAGGATGGGATCAGATGGTCAGGAATATGTATGATAAAAGGCAGAAGAACTACTAGAAGAAAGAAAAGTCAAGAAAACACTAAAGTATGGAGTAGAACACTTGATGGTATAGGTTTGTATGAGGTGAAATAGAGTAGGAATTCTCTGTGAGGTGTAGGAGAGAATGAATGCAGAGCAGCACATTTCAATTTTGGAGGAGTATCTGCTCAGGAGCATGCAGGAATCAAGAATTAATAAAGAAGACACTACCCTCTAATAAGACAATGACCCTAAGCATACTTCAAGTTGACCATAAAATGATTTGAAAACTATTGTATTAGTATTCTATAATGTCTAGTCCAGTCCTCAGACCACAACCCTATTGAACAGCCCTGGGAATTACTCAAGCTATCACTTACAGTCTATTAAGATCCTCCATAGGGGTTATTTCAGCTGTAGGAGAGAGTTGCAGCAGAGTGGGGCAAGATTTTTGATGAGGAATGGCTGAAATTGATAGATAGTGTGAATAGAAGAGTGATAGAAGCAATTAGAACAACAGGAGGAAACACCAAGCTACTAGAATTATAGAGATTGTGTTGGTTAAACTGAAAGTCAAATAAGTGTCTCAATGAGTCACCAAATTAAAATAACCATATCTTCACTCAATACCATAATTTTCCCACACTATATGGACCAAACATAAGGCTAGGAAGCAGGGCTTTCCCACATGTCCTATGGCTTAGTCATATTCTCACACCCTGACTCATAATACAGCAATTACATGCAAATCCACCAACATTGAAACACTTTTTGAGCCACTGTAAGTAAATGAATCAAAGATGAAGCTGATACAAGTACAAAGATCAATTAGTAAAAGTGCTGTTTGAGCTAACTAGCCAGCCTGTGAGCAAGTGAACTCAAACAAGTGCTTACTAAGTGAGCATGTGATATAAGATGTAATGTATGACAGTACACACAGCTTGTCTTTTTCTTTCATCTCGCCCCACTCACTTCAGGTTAAGGTATTCTCTCAAGTGAGAATTCGGCGCATCAATACTTCTGTCTCTATTTTTAAGTGATATTAACATTATGTCTGGGGCTACGAATTCTGTTGCTCCTCAAGGAGCAGGTGATAAAAGTGTTAGTCATCTAAACCCTGACTATGACAGGGATATGACAGACGATGAAGTCGATGGCTTGACCAACACTTTGGGTCAAGTCCAAAGGGTCATTGACTTTGATAACTGAGAAGCTGTTATAGCCAAGAACCTTCATTGTTCTGAGTGTAATCTTCTTTAGGCCCAACAAAGGAATCTGAACCATATTGAAGTTCCTGATGATGACAAGTTTTATGTAGAGGAACCTCCTACCTCACCTGTTACACCCACTCTTACATCTTCCCTCACTAAGAGGATTGCTAAAGCATACAGTTATGTTGATTCACTTACTCCTACCACTAAAAAGCTCATATATTCCATTTCTGGTGTTGATGAACCAATTCCTACTGTACCTGATCCTTGTGCATCATTTGTAGCTCCCTCTGTTCCTTCTAGTGTCTCAAGCAACACATATACCTTCATGCAGTCTAACACTAGAATTGCATCTTCTCTCAAATCCACCTATGAAATTCCATGTCCTATTATTTTCAACCTCACCAAGGTGAAAGTCCACATACCTCTTACAGTACTCACTCCTTTGGCACTTCGCAAGATCCACCAGGACCCATCATGCATCAAGATAATGAAAGGACTCGTCAACGATCCTAAACTAAGTGTTATGGATGCAACATCATCTGGGTTCTCACCGGTGACAAGTTTACTGGCAGATCAATTTAATGAAGCCTTTGGGAACTTCATCAAGGTAATGTGTCAAATAGCAGACCCAATCATCATTCAATATTTCATTGACCACTGTGCATTTTGCACAGAAAGAGACAATTTTAGTGAAAACTATCGCACCATTCTTGTGTTCGATATCAAGGCATGCAGAAAGTTCCTTTAACACCCTTACTTTTATGGACAGACCTGCATACCTCGACCAATTGGAAAGAATCAAATCAATACCAAACTGGAAAACCAGTCTTCATCTTCTAGCGGTTCTCATTTCCAACCATACCCTCCTAAGAAACCCGACCATACCTTGTCAGGAGGGGGCACATCCTTTGAACGATAGCAATGGCAAGCCCTTCATAAGGGCAAAGGAGCATCAACTGACCAACTCCTTTGCATGATCTGCAGTCAGCTTGGCCACAGGGCGAGTAGTTGCATGCACTCTCATACCTCCAAGAACAATGCTGTTACCAGTTCCTGGCAAGGCAAGCTTATTCTCAAATCGACTTCAACACCCATCTGCATTTCCTTCAACATTGGACGCTGCCAGGCTTCAAGGCATCCGAATGAAATCATACATGTTTGCACAATCTGTGGAGAATCCTCTCATGGAGCCGCTTCAAAAACCTGCTTCTGATATCTTGAATTGAATTGTCACTCCTTACATTGCCTCAGTGTATGAGAAAAACCTTAGAGAATTTAATCTAACCAAAAAATATCCTTCTCTCGTCTACAACTTGCAGCATGGTTTCCCTATTGGCGATATTGCACCTCCTACCAGAACCTACATTCCCAAGAACCACAAGTCAGCTCTTGATCATGTCAGGTCCTTTCACCAAAGTGCAGGGTCGAAACATTCTTGGTGGGCACTTTGTGTCCTCTCCTCTTGGCATTGTAGAAAAGGCTAGTGAACCTGGAAGTTTCGTGTGGTTTGAGACCTTTCATTCAAGAATGAAGATGGGTACTTGGTCAATGGTCATTTGGACTTAAACAACTTCCCTACAGAGTGGGGTATAGCATCCCAAGTAGCAGATATTGTGAGCATATTTTCACTCACTGCCTCGGCAGGTGTGTTTCAATGCCTTACTTGTTCTAAGGGCCTTTCTACCCTGTCCTTTCTTTGATCACCTCAGTGTTGTTGCTTCAGCATACTTACAAGGTCCTTCTACCTTGTTCATTCATTTGCCTCGGCATCATTGCTTTGGCACACCTTGCAAGGTCCTTCTACCTTTCGTTTGTCACTTCAGCAACTCTTCTTTTGCTTAGGTGCACTTCACACTTACTCATTCACATCTCTCACAAGTGGCTTGTGCTCCTCCTGGTACCCAGGCAGCCACATTGGACATTGAAGCAGCGTATCACATAATTCCAGTCTGGCCCAAACACAAGTGTTTTCTTGTTGTTGAAGTTGATGGTGGCCTTTTGTCATATACCATATTCCTGGGTACAGATCCGATCCAGATCCGATGGACATATCCATCGTCCGGTCCACAGATCCAATCTGATCCTTATTTCATGTCCTGTTCATATAACTCTAACTATCGTTCATCTCCTTTCGGCATTCCTGTACACCGGTATACTGGTTATCCTTTACTTCCATTATGCTTACTGATCCGCTACACTTACTGATCTGCTTTAGCTTATACTTCATTCCCGGTTATGATTCATTATCCATCCGACTTACCGATATGCTGTACACATACTTTGCGTATACTTCATACATAGCCTTGCACCTTTGCTTATTGATCATTCCGTTAGTTATCCGTAGTATATAAACCCTTGTACATGCGCTGTAGTAGATCAGTTCAAATATCATCTTAGATTGCACTCATTCTGTCTGGACTCTAAGTCCCTCTGTTATCCGTCCGGACTCGAGTATGATACTCTTGTCAACTCCGAGACTTAGAATTGATTCCTATAGTCTATATATCTGTCTCTGTCTTTGGACAGTCCTCACCTGTTAGTTTCTAGTTCAGATCCGATCCGGATTAGCCGTTACTCTATATGTTCGATATCCGGAAGCCTTAATGGATCCGTTATAATACTTATCCGTCTCACTAGACGCGATACTCTAGCACTCTGAAATAAGGGGCAAGACTCAGGAAAGAGACACAGCGCACGAGCTGAGGCCAAAGCCCTTTGGATACAATACTACTTGAGTACGGTTTTAACACCTTTTCATCAATCACATATTTCCATTCAGGCTCTCAACAGCTGGTGGGATCCAAGGTCATGTGGCTGATGCCACAGTAGACATCCTTCGGTGCATGAACCTTGGGTCCATAAAGAAATAGGTGAACGACCATACTCTCTTCTGTTATGCTTATAGCAGTGGCACCATGCTACCTGACAGTTCTCTAACCCTGTTTCTATACAAACATGGACTCATTGATGTCTATGACAAGTCCAAACCCCTCAGAGTCCCATGGCACTCTCAAAAATGGCAGGATTTGTGTCATTAATCATTTACCTAGGCTTACTTTGAGACACTGCCCTACACACTGTATCCTTACCCAATGAGAAACATGAAAAGTATTTACACAAGCTTGCAGACATCCTGTCATGCCTCACTTCAGGGGGCGCATCTCATTGAAAGAAGCTACCAGTATCAATGGTACATTGTCTCATGTAACCTTCATCATTCCAAGAGGTCACTCATACCTCTGCAACCTTAGTACATTCATCTCGTCATTCCCATCCCTCTGTCTTGTTACTTAAGGGTCTTATATACGATGTGTATATAGTGGCAACACAACTATACAGGATAAGACTTCTTGCCAGTCCTTAAGTACATGGTCTATGACTTTTCTAGTTTTCATGGTAGATAACATGCTGAGTTCTTGGGAGGAATGTCTTTCAATATTCTCCTTCTTGTTCCTTAATTAGTTTAAACCTCGTGGTCTCGTAGTAGTGAGTGTGAAGTTTGTACGTGTTTTGGCAAGTGTGTGTTCGTGGATTGTGAAATATGTCTATGCTCTTGAAATTCTGAGTGTGGAGTTTGTACGTGTTTGGGCAAGTGTATGCTCGTGGATTTGTGAAGTGTGTCTCATGATTCGTGTCTCCCTTCCTGAAAAAGAGAGGAAAGTTTTGCTGATGAACTTAGCTAGGTAGCTGTACTTTGTTATATAGTTAACCCCTGTAAGGTAGTATATAACTTGAATAGATGTTTCTTATTCTTAACTTCAAGGCTGCTGAATGGCCTGCGCTTAGATCTTACTGGTTCTCACATGGTTTGAGGAAAGAGTTAAGGTGGAAAGCTTATATTACATGAGTGAAAATGGACTCCTTATATACCTTTTGGGAGGCCATCTTACTAAGCATGATTCATTACATAGATTTGTAAGAATGTGCTTACAACTTGTGTTGAGTCAGCTTGTTTACTAATATACATACAAAATAAAGTGTAATATTACAAAGAATGAAAAGTGAAAAGCATGAGTCATCACATGGATTGGTAAGAATGTGCTTACAAACCAAGCCCTTAGGTGTGCTGAATCATCCTTATAACAAAGTGGATTACAAATACAGTTGCAAGTTTTACAAAGCATGATGAATCATAACCAAACATAATGAGTCAAGTTGAATCCTTACAAATCAGAGCATTTCCCAGTCACATGACATGATTACTAACATGCTTGGTGGCTTGAGGAAAAGTCTGGTGGCTAAATGTGCCTAGAAAAAATAGAAAGAGATAGAATCTCATGGAACAAAATAGAAATACATGGAAAAATAGAAGTGAAGTTTGAAAGTGAAAATACTAGCTAAGAAATGAATGAAAAATGATAAGGTAACTTGGTGATAGGAATCAGTCAGGTGTCTTCTACCTTCCTTGTCACTGCTGTTGTGTATATGTCATGGTATGGGTCACATACCATGCATGACACCGCTTCAGCTCTCATTACCCTCTTCCATCCATCATTTTAGACTTAAAGTGGTGGTTTAATGTTCTCTCTTCAGCACCAGTATCTCACAACCTCATTCCACGAACTTTCCCACAAGATCTCAACCTTTGGGTTAACACATCAATGAACTGGGGGATCAGTTTGACTCTGGACGGAAAATGGAACACCTGGACACTTCAGAACAACTGGAAAGGTCAAGGTTGAGACATTGGTTGGTTAAAAGTGGTAACAGTTGAGCTTAGCATTCAAACTCTCTTTGATCTAGGATGGAAGGATGCATGTGTCCTGATCCACTCTGACAACCAAGAACTTATTGGAGCTTTCCAATGTGGTTGCAGCCGCAATTTTCAAGTTGATCTCTGCATTCGACATTCTGAGGCCATTACAATGTGCTCGAACGTCACTCATGTACTTATTTATGTTGAATCCGCTCAGAACAAGGCTGGCACGATTTCGGTTGGCTCTCCCAGTTCCTGTTTGTCTCCAATCATGCTCCCAGAAGAGCTTAAATCCTTCATCTTGCCTTATATCTGATTCACTTTCTAGAACATTGGCTCTTCCCGACAACACAGATGCATTGGCCCTTCTACATGTTGCACTTGCAAGGCCCTCATGAGTTGGGGAGCCACCCAATTCATCTCATCCAATTTGCAAACCCCCAAAACCTGGAAAACCCAAAAAGGGTGTGAAATAACACCATCATCATTCAGACCACATGTTCTTGCCAGAGACCGCTTATGCCATTGGACGGTCCCCATTTCAGACACTTTCCACTCAGAACTCATCAGAGATTATGCTCTAGATGATATCATTCAGTTATTTAGGTTCTGTCTGGACACAAATTTCACTTGAGAAATTCAAATTGAAATTCACCTTCAGTGTCATGTGACTCTGCTCCCACGACCTTCGGAAGTCACCTGGGCATATGCTCCGCTATCATGATAACCAGGGATATATGATATCCGTCCAGTGCACTGACTCAGTACAACACCCATAATGGACATCTCACTACAGCAATGGCATGCAGATGTCCGTCGACGCCGACTTACTTTCATCTTCATGTGCATTGCTACACAAGTTGTGTATCTGTACCAATTATTATTCCTATCTACCAATGCATGTATTCCATACCACACATCAGCCTTGACTGGTGAAGCATGGGTTTATGAGCTTATGACAGGTCACTCTGATAGAATCTGCCACAATCTTGGTGTTAACCTTGAAGTCTTTGAAGCGCTGGTGAAGATTTTGCAACAAAATGATATCCAAGTGTCTCGCAATGTGTCATATACCATATATCCGGTTACAGATCCGATGATCTGGATCTCAGATCCGATCCAGATCCGATGAACATATCCATCGTCCGGTCCACAGATCCGCTTTGATTCTTATTTCATTTCCTGTTCATATAACTCTAACTATCGTTCATCTCCTTTCGGTATTCCTGTACACCGGTATACCGGTTATCCTTTACTTCCGCTTTGCTTACTGATCCGCTATGCTTACTGATCCGCTATGCTTACTGATCCGCTACACTTACGAATCCGCTTTTACTTACTTTGCTTATACTTTCATACATAGCCTCGCACCTTTGCTTATTGATCATTCCGTTAGCTATCCGTAGTATATAAACCTTTGTATATGCGCTGTAGTAGATCAGTTCGAATATCATCTTAGATTGCACTCATTCCGTCTGGACTCTGAGTCCCTCCGTTATCCATCCGGACTTGAGTACGCTACTCTTGTCTACTCCGAGACTTAGGATAGATTCCTATAAGTCTACATATCCGCCTCTGTCTTCGGACAGTCCTCACCCGTTAGTTTCTAGTCCGGATCTGATCCGGATTGGCCGTTACTCTATACGTTCGATATCCGGAAGTCTTAACGGATCCATTGCAATACTTATCCGTTTCACTAGACGCGATACTTTAGCTCTCTGAAATAAGGGGCAAGACTCGGGAAAGGGGCACAGCGCACGAGCTGAGGCCGAAGCCCTTCGGATCCGATACTACTTGAGTACGGTCTTAACACAATGGCATATCAGTAGAGGAACAACTGGCAATTTTTTTGTATGCCTGTGTAACTGGGCTTTCGACTTGCCATCTCGGTGAGCGATTTCAGTGTTCCCCTGATACCATTGCCAGGTGAGTACTCAGCCTTTGTCTGAGTCATATCAATATCCTACTGAATTATGTTGTGCTAGGTACTTTAAGCACTTGCTTAACTTTTTCTCGGACGACCTATTCTATTCCTCACAAGTCCACTTACCCACGATTGAGACTCCTCTATCCTCCAAAATTCTGGATGACCCTCAATTTCACTTTTTTGATGAATGTATTGGTGCCGTAGATGGCACACACATCTGAGTCTTCGCCTCAGCCAACCAGCATGCCACTATGCGCAACCGCAAAGGATTTTTATCCCAAAACTGTCTCTTTGTGTGCGACCACAATTTTTTATTTATATACTCACTTTGTGGCTGGGATGGCTCTGTTGCCGATGGTGCACTCTGGAATGATGCACGCACCCATGATTTTGCCTTGCCCCCAGGCAGATATCTACTTGCAGATGCTGGCTTTGGGACATGTGATGCACTGTTAGTGCCATACCATGGTGTCCATTACCACCTGAATGAGTGGTGTCAGGCCGATCAGCAGTAATGTTTTTTTTTTCATTTCAATACTTTATTTTCTAACACATGTCTAGGCTGCGGACCCCAGAGGAGTTATTCAACCACCGACACGCATCTCTTTGCAACATCATTGAACACATCTTCGGAGTGATGAAGCACCGATGGTGCATTCTTCAGGTGCCGCCAGAGTATCATATGGACATCCAAGCATGTGTCCCCGATGCGCTCTGTGCTTTGCACAACTTTGTTTGCAGATACGACCCCAACAGTTTTGATGGAGAAGCTGATGATCTGTTGGAATACGACTCTGAGGGAGGAGGGGGTGAGCTGAATGAACTTGGTGATGGCTCAGCAGATACTGCGGAGAGGCGGAGAGCTGATGGTTGTTGTGATTGGATTGCTAGGGAGATGTGGGAAGATTATCTTGCAGTGTGTGCGGCACGAGGTGACCCAGTTAATTGAAGTTATACTACTAGTTTGTGCGCTCTGTATCTCGACAATCAATTCAATTGTTTGCATGTATCATAGTGTTTGACAAGTATGTAAGAAGTATATGAAGCAAGTTAATCGACGGTATCAATGTGCATGGCACGAGTTTCACCGAGCCTCCTCTTCACCCAATTGGCCCTCAGATTGTCACCCTTCAAGTATAAAAACGCCGTGGCCTGATCTTCGTCCCTCACAAACAACTGCGTCATGTCCAACTTGTCATCATCAGACATGTATGTGGCATCACTGATGACTTCAATGGCATGCGCAAAGTCAGAAGCAGGTGCAACAGGGGCCGCAAGAACTGGGGGTACACTAAGATGCTTGCTCACGGCCTCCATTGCAGTAACAAGTGATGTCATCGCTGCACTACCCTCCAGCTGGGCTCTGGCAGTTGCAGATGGTGGGCAAGAGTGCTTTCCTGATGGAGCATCGCCGTCAGAACCCAGTGCGCTGGCCTTGCGCTTGCCCTGGCTGGTACTTGTCAATGCTGTGGGTGGGCTTGTCGAAGGAATGCGTGATGACGTGGCGGGAGGATATGTGGAAGTAGATGCAGGAAGACGGCCCATGTCTGCAGAAATCTCGTTGGTGGCTATAGATAACTCATGGAGGTGGAGTTCTGCAGGAGGGTGAGTGCTGGTGGAAGGTATCATGGAAGGTGGGGGCATGCTGGTAGTAGATGCGGTAGAGCCAGTGCGATTTTTTTTCTGACTGCGACAGATGTGAATTCCTTTGTCTTTTATGCCAGCTGTCAGCAAGTCAAAGATCTCAAAATGTTTGAATCCTTTGTTCTTGAATTGCGTGGCATTCGGATTTGACTTGAAAAAACAGATTAGGATCCAGAGCAGTGATGGGGAGCACAGTACTCACTTTGACATATCCAGCCCAAGTGCTAGCGGTGTCCTTATCTATGGTTGCCCCCCCGCTTCTGTCCATGTGAATCCTGACGACGATCCACCAACTTTGAGTGCTTGAGCGGCGAGATAAGCCTTCTTGAGAGCCAAAAACTTTGACTTACAGGCTGAAATTGTTTTGTCCCCACCCTTCTGGTTTTTGAAGTGCTTTGCAAGGTGCGCAGAAGCTTCTGTATAGGTTCTCTTGGGGAAGGTGGCGCAATCTGTGCCAGACCTGTTATCATAGAGGTATCTAAGGAAGGTGGTCTCCTCTTCCAGTCTCCAATAAGCGGCCTCTTTATGGCCAGATACAGATTGCAGTTGAGGCTCTGTGGCACCACTGGTGGAGTCTCCAGAGTGATAAGAGCGAAGAGAGCGACGAAAGTGGTCAGAATCCAACATATAGTCCATGCATATGATGGTAGTATGATAATGCTAGGTGCCAATCTCATTTTGAAGGTCGTGGGAGCAGTGTCACATGATGCTGAAGGTAAATTTTGATTTGAATTTCTCAAGTGAGATTCATGTCCAGACAGAACCTTAATGTATTGTTGATATCTGTTAAGACCGTACTCAAGAGGTATCGGATCCAAAGGGCTTTGGCCTCAGCTTGTGCACTGTGCCCCTTTCCTGAGTCTTGCCCTTATTTCAGAGTACTGAAGTATTGCGTCTAGTGAGACGGATAAGTATTGTAACGGATCCATTAAGGCTTCCAGATATCAGACATATAGAGTAACGGCTAATCCGGATCGGATCTGAACTAGAAACTAACGGGTGAGGACTGTTTGAAGACAGAGGTGAAGATACAGACTATAGGAATCAATCCTAAGTCTCGGAGTAGACAAGAGTATTGTACTCAAGTCCGGACAGACAACAGAGGGACTTAGAGTCCAGATGGAATGAGTGCAATCTAAGATGATATTTGAACTGATCTACTACAGCGCATGTACAAGGGTTTATATACTACGGATAACTAACGGAATGATCAATAAGCAAAGGCGCAAGGCTATGTACGAAGTATAAGCAAAGTATGTGCACAGTGTATTGGTAAGTCAGATGGATCACGAATCATGAACCGGTGTAGAGACTCGCCTTTCTGCAGGCACATATGGGCACATTTTGCGCCTTTTCACAACTCATGACAATTGGCCTTCAATGCACAACTCGCACCATCAGCTATATTCGACTTCTATCATGTCCCTAGTCGTTTTACACACAACGTGCAGCTTTCCCGCAAAACGCGCCATAGGCGCGGTACTTTCCCACACAATGTGCAGCATTCCCACACGCGCACCTTCCGTGCTTTCTCACGCTTAAGCGCCCTGCATCGCCTATCATCCAGGAACGTCCCTCTATGTCCACCCACCTCATTGGTACGTCATATCCCTTGCCTCGTGGTTTGTAACAAGCATTGCAGCATTATTACATGTCATTACATATTTTTAGCGCTTACTGCTCCTATCCCTTCCGCTTCCGATGCGATTTCCATAGTATAAAGTTGCTGACTTACTACTCCATCATTATTACTCCCCTTTGCTGTACTTCCCCTCGCTATTGGGTTTTACCTTAGAGTAGTAGTCACCACTTGGGCGCACTTTGTGTTTCCAATGGTTATCGTTATCCGCCTATACTAGACCTTTATCCGCGCTCGTTATAACACTCGCTCTGCGTTTGCACTCGCTTTGCACATCCGCTTCCTTATCCGTTTCCTTATCTGGTATTTTCCGCACAACGCGCGCCTTAGCGCTCACGTTCCCACGCTCACGCTTACCTTAGTGCGCTCTCTCGCGCTTCGCGCTCACTTCGCTTTTCTTCTTGCGCTTTCGCGCATCCATCGCACTTCAAGGGTCTTTCTTTCATCTGGTTCTGTGTTCAGTAGCAGTCCCCTTTAGGGTCGAACGTTCTTGCATTCTGCAAGTATAGCAGCTAGGCAGAGCCAAGACTCACTTATACTGGTTGAGCATTTTTAGATATTTCATATCAGCCCAGCCAGGTTGAGATCGCCTCACCGGGAATGAAGTATAAGTTAAAGCGGATCAGTAAGTGTAGCGGAAGTAAAGGATAACTGGTATACTGGTGTACAGGAATACCAAAAGGAGATGAACAATAGTTAGAGTTATATGAACAGGACATGAAATAAGAATCAGATCAGATCTGTGGACCAGACAATGGATATGTCCATCAGATCTGGATCGGATCTGAGATCCAGATCTTCGGATCTGTCCATCGGATCTGGATCGGATCTGAGATCCAGATCTTCGGATCTGTACCTGGATATATGGTATATGACAATGCCAATCCAACAAGGAGGATTGTGTGGAATACACCATTTAGTCAATAACATTGTTGGCTAGTACAATACAAGGAAGATCAGTTCTGAGTTCAGCAGAATCAAATATACATTATGACAGTCTGTTAGCCTAGCTCACTTGATCACATATTCCCCCCATAAATCTATTATGTAACTTTCATGAATGGAGCCAGCATCCATTGCATTGAATATGGAATAAATGTTTCTGAGGTAAAGGTTAATCTTCAGGGTGTCAAGTATTGCCATCTTATTTTGTATGTTGTTTTATAGGTTGTCAATATGGTTGTGATATCTCTGAAGTTATTCATATTTCATCTACATGTTCTCCGATTTTGCATCATGCTTTGCTTTTGTGTCCTAAAGTTCCTCACGATCATGGCACTTTGGTCACCCCCTTACAGACACCTCTTAGGTTGATTATCACCTACAGAGGTTTTCACCTAAGAGGTACTTTTCTGCTGGTCTGCCTGGTGTTCTGTGGTCTTTCCCTGTTGTGCTTGGGGACCAAAGACCATGGACCATATATGAACCAAAGACCATTGGGAATTATGTTATGGGAGTACCAAAGGATGATTTGGATCACTTGAATTCCATATAATGCAGGGGTGTCTGTGGTCCTCAAATGCCAATTTCTTTGGAAATTTCTCACTATATGTATTGCATCTATGCCCTGCACCCTCCATAAACCTAACAAATCTTCTTATATATAATTGAACAACATATCTGGTGGGTATATGGAAAAAATGAAAAGTCATTACTTTAATTGAACTTCTTAATGAAAGTTGTAGTATGTGTTAAGGTGAGTCTACATGTGATCATACCTTATCAAAATGTTGAAGGGAAGGTGAGATATGACCATAACAAAAATTGTTGTTGGGCTTGTTTATGAAAAACAAAAGTCATTATCCTTGATGAAAGTTGTTGTGCAAAAACAATAAATAGGGAAGACCACATGCTTAATGGGAAAGACTACACTTTGGTTAAAGATCACAGAAACTCACCAAGTTGCGGCTATAGTGGCAAGCCACTGTTGCCACAAACTCTTGCTTAATTACAAACAGGTTTCAACTCATTAAATGGTCTACATCTCTATTGATTGACATAACTTTAACAGCTGGTGTCAGGGATCAACTGGAAAATCAAGCTCATTGTAACAGTATCTCGACCCCAGGATTACCCCAGGAATATATTAACAGAGTCCAGTTTCACAATAGCAGGCATGAACATGATATTGTTAGTGCTGTTTTAATTCTCAGCCCACCTATTAACTCCTGCATTTAGTCTTTATCATCTCCATATCAATTTGAACCCCTTCAATCTAGACTCAATTGTGATACCAAGGGAAATGTCTGCAAGCCTCCAATGGCTCAATCTAGCCAGCCACGGCAACTGAAATGTATGTCTCCCCACCATGTACTTCAGCAAACTCTACTGAACCATTTAAAATTTTCAGAAATCTATCATCATAACACTTGAAGCGCAATTTATATTTCAGAAATGCATAGTGCAGCTATGCACATCATCTATTCCCACTGAAATACTGCCAGGAAATGGTCTTGAGCAGCCCACAGTCCTCATCACATCAAGCAAGGTTGCTGCATTGCAAATGGTACACCAGCAATTGAACACCATGGATATAGCTCAAACTGTGGACTTGCTGGAGGATATTTTCACCTCTGGGATTGCAGAGAGGGTTCGTACATTGGTTTTCAATAGCAGTTGGAAAAATACTCCTGTTTCTCATACCTCAGGTGTGTATTTCTAACATGCTGTGACAATCATATTGGCACTAGGCATGTATACCTGCATAAGCCTTCAATAGGTGGACCAAAGTTATCCCTCATATTATTCACTACTCCCCTATCAGCAGTCTTCACTTGTCTCAGCCATAGCCCTTGTCCAACACTATTCCGCACTTTCCCGCACTATGCATGCACATTCCCACAGCACTATTCATGCTCCCGCAACTTATCTGATGCTATTCCCGCGCTTATAGCGCTATCAGAACTACCAGCAATGTGTCTATAGGAGCATTAGTGCTTGTCCGCTCTATCTAGTGCTTGTTCCCGCGCCTAGCGCTTGTCCAGCGCACTGTTCTCGCGCTCTAGGATCCACCTGAAGCATCGGAATCCATCCATTGTCCATCCTACCTCATTGGTATGTAATTTGCCTTGCCTTGAGTTAGTAACAAGTGCTACAGTCTTATTACATGTATATCCTATCCCTTCCGAGTCCAAGATGATATAGTTTACTAGTATAAGAAGCCTATGGTGACTACTTCAACATTACTTTCCTTCGACTGTATTTCCTTTCCCTTAGGTTTTACTTAGAAGTAGTCACCCTTTAGTTGCGCTCTATGGCCCCTATTTGACTTTCCTTACCCTTGCAATCAATACCTTTGATCTCACACACTATCCATTACCCTCCTTTGACTCAGTGTCCGCTTTCTTGACTTCTGCTCTTTCCCGCGCATTAGTGCTCTATCTTGCGACGCACTATTCCCACACTTTAGCACTCTTTCAGGTCTTTCAATCTTGAGTTGTCCTTAGTAGCTTTTCCCTTGGGTTGAACGTTCTTGCTTTATTGTTTGCAAGTATAGCAGCATAGGCAGAGCTTAGACATATACTGGCTAAGTACTTTTACTAGTGCCTAGTCAGGTTGTGTTTTTCACAACGCATTGCTTGTTGCATAGATTGATTCATTTTTTTTAAAAGCTTTAACCCAAGAAAATATATTTCAGCAAGGCAGCTGCTCTTCACTGCCATTTTCCACCGCCTCTCAAATCTCTCACCACTTGTCAGGGTGTTCCACCTATTCAGAGTCATAATATGGCAGAAGTCTCAAGGCACCCTGACTTTGAGACATGGTTTCTTGCACAGTCAAGAAATCAGCCTTATTCTGTCTCACACCCTCGCTCTTGTGGTACCAACACAGTCTCTGGTCCTTGCCGTGGTACTAACACTGGCTCCAGTTCTTGCACAAGACCTGTAGCGAGCGCTCATCCTAACACTGTCTCTTGCTCTCAGGACATCAACACTGGCTCTGGTTCTTGTGTAAGACCTGTAGTGAGCGCTCATCAGCAGCCCACAGTCAACATGCC